TGCTCAACTAACCTAACGATTGGTGATTCAAACCTACCCAGTGGTACCTTGTAAGATAGGCCTGGCAATCTGCTTCTGTAAAGATTATAGCCAAGAAAACCCTATGGAACAGTTCTACTTTATAACTCATGGAGTTGCCATGAGTTGGAATGGACATAACAGCAGCCAACAATAACAAGGTTAAAGCTACATTTCTTCAGACTGGGCAAAAACATTCCTACCATTTATTTCAAATGGGTGATCTTTCTCTCCTTGCTACATCTAGAGCTGTTTCACTCATTAGGCCTTAAGAGGCTGGCCTCACTCAGGCATCCTGTTTTAGTCTTTTGTTTGATGACCAGTGAAATGATACGTATATGATAGGAATATGCATAGGACAGAAAAGAAGGTCAGGTTGATTACTTAAAACACAGTGACTGTGAATAGGGTTGCTCTTTCCCACATAGTGCCTTTGTGTGAATTAGAAAAAGATGCTCCTGGGGGTAGAAGAATTAGAAAAATCCTGCCTCCTCAGTGGGCACAGTGCAAGGCCTGGTGATCAGGGGCTGAGGCAGTCCCATGCCAGGATGCATAAACTGCACCGGGATGCCATGACGCTTAAGAATTCCTTAGCATTCCTCTCTTCTGATGCCTTTTGTGGCGTTTCTAAATGGAGGCAGGAATACTTGGAAATGTGTGTCTTTGGGCACAAATGGGAACAAATTGAAGTGCACATCCATCTCTTGTGTCACGCTGGAGCACAAATAGATAATTGAAAACACATTTCTTCTCTCCGAGGCACACATCTCTGGGATACATAAATGCTCTGTTGGGAGAAATACTGTATTGGCAGCATTATAAAGCTCCCTGCTAGGTAGATGTAGCAATTATTTCTGCCCAAAGGAGTCAGGGAAAGGTATTGGGAAGGTGTGACATAGGAAGAAGGTATTTTAGGATAAAGACTTTGCCAAATAGTTATGTTGTTGTTAGGTGCTGTTGAGTTGGCTCCAACTGATAGCAACCCTATGTACGATAAAATGAAATACTCCCCGATCCTGTACAATCCTCAGAATCATTGCTTTGTTTAAGCCCGTTGTTGCAGCCACAATGTAAGTCCATCTCATTAAGAGTCTTCCACTTTTTTGCTGACCTTCTTCTTTACCAACCACAATGTCCAGGTGCTGGTCTTTTCCTGATGACATGTCCAAAGTACATGAGACAAAGTCTTGCCATCCTCACGTCTAATGAACGTTACGGTTGACATCTTCCAAGACAGATTTGTTTGTTCTACTGCCAGTCCATGTTCAATATTCTTCACCAACACCATAATTCAAAGGCATCAATTCTTCTTTAGTCGTGTTTATTCATTGTCCAGCTTTCACATACATATGAGGCTATTGAAACAGTAGCTTGATTCAAAATGACATCTTTGCTCTTTACACTTTTAAGAGGTCTTTCAAGCAAATTTGCTCAATGCAATATATCATTTGATTCTTGACTACTGACTGCTTCCATAGGTGTTGATTTTGGATCCAAGTAAACTGAAATCCTTCACAACTTTAATCTTTTCTCCGTTTATTAAGATGTTACTTATTGGTCCAGTTGTGAAGGTTTTTGTTTTCTTTATGTTGGTGTGTATAATCCATACTGAAGGCTGTAGTCTTTTTTTTCCCTCATCTTTGTTGTTGTTTAATTTTTATTGTGATTTGAGTGAAAATTTACAGAGCAAATTCATTTTCCATACAGCAGTTCGTACACATTTTGTCTCATGACATTGACTGCAATTTCTCACAGTGTAACAGCTCTCTTCCCATTTCCTCCCCATAGTTACCTCTTGTCTGTGTCCTTCCCTCCCATACCCTCCTGCTCCCCAGCTGTCTCCCTGTGCAAATACTGCCCTTCTGTTCTCTCATGATCTTTCCAAGGAGTGCATCTACCTGATGTAAATGTAAACCTCATATGCCTGTCTTTTATTTGGCCGGAAGCCTCAGGAGTGAGTTCAATTCCAGACCTGAAGGGCAGCTAGGGGTCATAGTCTAAGGGTGTTTCACCAGGCTCTATTAGACCAGCAAAGGTGGTCTTTGGTCTTTTTTTTTAAATAATTTTGAGTTTTGTTCCACATTGTTCTCGCACTCTGTCCAGGATCTCCTATACATATTCCCCTCAGAGTGGTTGACAGTGATAGCCAGGCACCATCTAGTTCTTCTGGTCTCATGGGTATATAGACTGAGGATGGCATGGTCTACCAGTCCCTTAGACTAATTGTTTCCATGCGTTGAAGGCTGTTGTCTTTGATCTTCATTAGTAAGTACCTCAAGCCCTCTTTGCTTTCAGCAAGCAAGATTGTATCATTTGTGTATCCCAGGTTGTTAACAAGTCTTCCTCCAATCTTGATGCTGCATTTTCTTTTTAGTCCAGCTTCTTGGCTAGTTTGCTCAGCATACAGATTGAATAAGTATGTTGTAAGGATACAACCCTGATGCACACCTTTCCTGATTTTAAACGACGTAATAGCTCCTTGTTCTGTTTGAACAACTGCCTCTTGGTCTCTGTGCACAATTAAGTGTTCTACAATTCTCATTCTTTGAAATGCTATCCATAATGTGTTATGATGCATACAGTCAGATGCCTTTGCATAGTTAATAAAACAGAGGTAAATATCTTTCTGGTTCTCTATGCTTTCAGCCAAGATCCGTGTTACATCAGCGGTAATATCCTTCGTTCCACATCCTCTTCTGAATCCTGCTTGAATTTCTGACAGTTCCTTGTGGATGTACTACTGGAACCATTTTTAAATTGTCTTCAACAAAATTTTACTTGTATATGATATTAATGATATGGTTTGATAACTTCCACATTCTGTTGGATCACCTTTCTTTGGAATGGTCACAAATATGGATCTCTTCCAGGTGGCCAAGTAGCTGTCTTCCAGATTTCTTGGCATAGATGAGTGCTTCCAATATTACATCCATTTGTTTAAACATCTCAGTTGACATTCCATCAATTTCTGGAGCTTTGTTTTTCACCAGTGCCTTCGGTGCAGCTTGGACTTCTCTCAGTGCCATCAGTTCATTATCATACGCTACTTCCTGGAACGGTTGAACGTTGACCAGTTCTTTTTGGTACAGTGAATCTGTGTATTCTTTCTACCTTCTAGAATCTTTCAGTATTGCTACTCAAGCATTCAGTCTTTTCTTTAGTTCTTTCAGCTTGTGAAGTTCCAAGCATGTTTTTCCATTGTGGTTTTGTAACTCCAGATTTTTGCACATTTCATTATGTCTTCTTGAGCTACCCTTTGAAATCTTCCATTCAGCTCTTTTACTTCATTTCTTCCATTTGCTTTAGCTACTCTCCATTTAAGAGCAAGTTTGAGAGTCTATTCTGACATTTAGTTTGGTCTTTTCTTTCTTCCCTGTCTTTTAAGTGACCTTTTGTTTTTTTCTTATATGATACCCTTGATGTCATCCTACAACATTAGTGTTTGATGTATCAAATCTTTTGTTGAGATGATCTCTACATAAAGTGTGATATAATGAAGTTCTTGCTGTGGCTCTCATGGACTTGTCATTTTCTTCAGTTTCAACTTGAACTTCCATGTTAGCTTTTGATGGTCTGTTTGCAGTGGGCCCTTGGTGGTGTTCTGACTGATGATACTGAGTTTCTCCATTGTCTCTTTCCGCAGATGTAGTCCATTTGATTCTCGTGTATTCTGTCTGGCGATGTCCTCATGTATAGTCATTGTTTATGTTGAAAAGGTATTTCCAATGAATAGGTCACTGGTTTTACAGAATTCTGTCATGTGATCTCTGGCATCATTTCTATCACTAGCCCGTATTTTCCAACGACTGATTCTCCTTTTTTGTTCTAACTTTTGTATTCTAATCATCGAAATTATCAGTGCATTTTGATTGCATGTTTGATCAATTTCATACTGCAGAGTTGGTAAACATCTTCAATTTCTCATCTTTGGCTTTAGTGGTTGGTGCATAAATTTGAATAATACTCATATTCACTGGCTTTCTTTTAGGCATGTGAGTATTTTCTTTTCACTGGCAGTGTTGTACCGCAGGATAGATACTGAAAAGTTTTTTTTTTTTTTTTTTTTTGACAATGAACATAATGCTATTCCTCTTCAGTTTGTCATTTTCAGCATAGTGACCCTATGATTGCTTGATTCAGAATGGCCTATCCAGTCCATTTCACTCATTAATGCCTGGGATACCAATCTTCATGCGTTCCATTTTATATTTGACAACTTCCGAATTTCCTAGATTCATACTTTGTACATTACATTCCTGTTATTAATAGATGTTTGCAACTGTTTCTTCTCATTTTAAGTTGTGCCACATCACTAAATGAAGGTCCTGAGAGCTTTACTCCACCCATGTCATCAAGGTCAACTCTACTTTGAGGCAGCTCTTCCCCTGCTGTATTTTGAGTGCTGTCTGACCTGAGGGTCTCATCTTCCAGCACTGTATCAGACAGTGTTGTGTTGTTATTCATGAGGTTGTCACTGGCAAGTTTATTAGAAGTAGATTGCGAGGTCCTTCTTTCTAGTCCGTCTTAGTCTGGAAGCTCTGCTGAAACCTGTCCATGAGGGACCCTGCTCATATTTGAAAAGCTGATGGCATAGCTTCCAGCGTCACAGCAACATGCATAGCCCCATAGTGTAGAAACTGACCCATGAGTGGTGGAAATAGTTGTGTGGGTGGGGAAATACCATGTCAACTATGGAAAATAACTTGAACAGTGGCTTTGAAGGAATTGAAAATTGAAGATGGTATTATCACTGGGATATCAGATCATTTTAGTGTTAATGACATAAGAGTTTTTTAAGTTCTTTAAGTCTGATCCCAGTTATTGTTTTAAAGCATAAATTGACTTTACAAGTTGTTACATGTAATGTTTGTACACTTCTACTTTTGGTTTATTAACTTTATTCAGTAATTATTGGTGATGGGCAGGTTTGTTGCTACTTTTCATTACAATGGTAGGTCCTAACTATTTCAATTTTTTTCTAGATAATAGCATTTGATGAACTGAAGACTGATTACAAGAATCCTATAGACCAGTGTAATACCCTGAATCCTGTAAGTTATAATATAGGTTTTATCTTTAGATTTTTATACTGTTTTTTCTTGTGACTTGATTTAATTTGAAAATGGCCAATATTCTCAGTAGTGTACTTTTTGAAGTAGGCAGAATTAAAAAAAGATTTTTTTTCCTGTCCTCCTTGACTATTCTGACTATTATTAATCTGCTGGTGATCTTGTCAGCTGTCATACTAACATTCTTCCAATCTGCTTTTTACATTGTCGGCCAAAGACAGTTGAAAAGGTCAAAAAGATTAAAAGAGTCAAAATTGCATTAAAGGTGTGTACTGCTTTTTAGTGTAATGTTTTAATGCTACTTTCATTTCCATGGGGAGGGTTAGGGCATTTGTATCATAATGTTTTGTTCAGTGTGCTTGTTCATATGCTTGTTGAGGTTTCTAATTTCATGAATTTTCATATTTTATGCACACGTTTGCTTGCTGGCCCAGTCAAGTAGGGAAAGCTGTTATATGCTTATGCATTTTTTTGTTTTTATTATAGCCATAGGCACTTCTATATTAAATTATTTGGTGCAGTGCTTAAAAGTTGATTAAAGTTACATGCCTTAAATAGATGGTGAAATTATTCTAGGGTTATGATTTATTGTGAGTAGTATGCAATTGAATCTTTAGGATTGCTTTAACTACCATGTTTAGTTTTGTCTTTGGTTATACATGCTGTGGAATTAATTCAGTCATTTACCTTAAGTTTGTCCGGTACCCTTTAAGCGAGTAACTGTTTTTAGGCACTGGAATCTTGTGGTAATGCTGTCCTATGGACTCATGCTGCCTGTATTTTGTAGGTAACGTTTTGTATGCGATGTGTACTGAGTTATTTCTATTATATATTCATTCTAAATTTCTAAAATGGACCTGTTTTATACTAAGTTCTGAGATAGAGGGTTATGATGTACCTTCATTGTGTTTAGGGGTTTTATATATTTCATGAATTCATTTAGTTTACTTATGTAGGAGGGTTCTCCTTTTAGCTTATAGGTTTGATTTTCCCTGATTGGTCAAAAACGGAAAGGTTGTTTGTAAGAAAGCAGTGACTAGGTCTTCAAGAAACAGAATACAGTAGTTCGTTGTAAAAATGAATCTTAATGAAGATAAGAACTTGTGTGGATGGATGTTTGTTGTGTAAAACTGTAATGCACTTGCATGCTAGAAGGAATTTCTGGAAATGCATCTAAATTTAGTCATATGAAACATATAAGTTTAGTTTGCTACTTGATCACTTTTTCCCAGATATACATGAACAATGGTATAGATTTCTGGTTTGTCTTTAAAGAACTATTACAGTAAGACTTTTGATGTACACACAATTAAAAGTGTTAATTTACTAGCTGTTTCCTTGTTTTGATGAAACATATGAGAAGATGAATATGCCTTCTTATTGGAAAGTCGGATGTGTTCATTGTGAAAACTCCTTAGTAGTTGAAATGAATTGTTACCAAGATACTAAGAAATGGAAATTTCTCCTTTTGATAGCTGTTTATGAATAGTATTACATCCTCTTTGGCTTTTCATGACTTTAAGGACCCAAATGATGATGAAGGTACTAATAGCTGAAATCACATAGGGGCTTTCCTAGGTGCCAAGGCTCTGTAAGCTCTTTCCTGGATTTTTTCATTCAATTCCCATGACAAACCTTAGTGGTGGGTATATTGATATTCTCATGTACAGGGAAGAAGACAGATCTAGAGAGGTTCAAGAACTTCACTCAGGCCCACACAGCTAGTAGAGCCAGAGTTTGAATTGAAACAACTTGATTTTTGACACTAAGTACTTGTATTTTGTCGTCAAGTTAAGAGCGACTGATTTCATTTTAACATAAGTGTGATTTCTAGCTTTTCTGAATGGGAAGAAAGTCTCACTTAGAAAAGATTTGTGCTTGATATATCCTAATGCTTCAGTAGGTTGGAAGGGAGTTTTTATACTGGCACAAGTTGCATTTTGGATAGGGTGCCGTTAATTGGCTTAATAGCAGTGCATCTGACAGTTTTCCCTATTTAAAATGTGTTTTGACAATTCTGCCAAAGTATGGGGGAAGACAAATATACTTTTTTAAAAATGTGAAACTTTAACAACATAATATTATGATTAGCATGTTTAAGTCCTATCATTTCAGCCATATTTACATAAGGTATTTTTTCCTGGATACCAGTTTTTCTGTGAACCTTGGTTCCTAAACGGAATTATTTTTGTGTCACTTCTGGAGAGGTCTGATCATTCAGGGATGATTAGAGATGACTGTTTTTGTAAGAGATGGGTAATAAAGATTTCTGGACTATTTTTGAGGAGAAGCGGGGAGTGTGATGTTTGTTTCATACCAGAACTGGTAGAGTTGCAGATTGTGTTTACCACCATTGCACATCATTGTTATAAGCGGTGGGGACTGTGCTTTCAGACTCTCTCCCTGTCCTTGGTCTGTAAATGTAGGCTGAAACCTCAGATGATGATTTGTGTTTTTCATTATCAGTTGGCTTTAGAGGACTGAATTTGGCTTACTATGTTTTAAAGAGAAAGACTCATATAATTTAAACTACTACGATAAGCAGCACTTCTAGTGAGACTTGTCTTAAAATGTATATTTTTCTTGGTTTGTCATTGAATCATTGAGTTTCAAAGATTTTCTGTGGATGTTTTATTGCGAGAGATTGGAGATGTTTAACTTTGACCTTAAACATTAAATAGATGCTGGTTTAAAGGTTCATGCTCTACAAGTCTATATTTGTATGCAGCATTTATCTTGTTATTTATTATACTGCTTAAGTTTATAGAAAATATCTGGTTAGTGGTATAGCTTATTTGGTTTTAGTGGGATTTCATTTAAAATATTATGCACTTAAGAGTTCACTTTATAGCTTTAAGTCAGAAAACGTAGTTTGAGATCAGTGGAAAAAAATTAGCTTGAATAGATAGTATATTATTTCTACAGTCATGCTTTGCCCTTGGGAAAGATCTGATAGTGTTGAGGATTCATAGTAATTTTCATTTACATGAAGTAGAAAGCAGACATTTGAGAAACTGGCTTTGTAGTTATAACTTGTACGAGGTTATTTGAAAGTTACAGTGAAAGATTTTGGTATTTTTATTTTAAAAAGTCATTAGGTTCAAATCTTTCGAATGAGGAAGACAATTTAAAGGAAAGCATTACTTTGCTTGTTTTGGCACAGAATTAACTATCTTGTGGTCATTGTATAAAAAGCATTTTGCTTGAATTAATTTTTTTCTCAGTTAATACTACCTACTATCAAAAGATTTGTTTTTGAGTTCTGAGCTTTTACTGGTCTGAATAGAATGGTGTGTCTGTAACATTTCATTAGAAAGAATGGAAAGGCCACCTAAGAATGCGAGCTCAGGAACCTGGACAACTCCAATCCCATGGTTGCGAACTCAGTCTTTTCCCTCCTACATTGCAGAAAGCACATCGTTTCCATTTGTGCATATTAGTGTTCCTTCCTGACTGTGCTGAGATTATTGGCTGATTGGCTTTCCACTGGAAAATTACTTTTGTGGTAATGTGATGTGGTTTGCTAAATATTGTATATGTAACATTTCTGGTTTCTGTTAAAGACAAACACTAATGTGTATAACTCTAAGGGATGATTTTGTTTTTGTGGATTTTTTTTTATATCATGTTGCATGTGATCAGATACCTTGTTTTTGTATTTTTATCATTTGTTGAATGGTGAAACCAAACAGTATTCCAGTTGATTAGCAAATAACTCACATCATTCTGGGTGGTAACTTTGTTAATTTAACTATTTGAACAATTTGGGTTTTAAGTTTTAAGTTACCTCTTACTCTTTCAAGGCAAGCTATATCCTCTGAATAGTTTGCCTATAATCCTGCTTTTGGTTTTTTTTTTAAAGTAACAATTTAGCAGCATCTTTCATCTCTGAGTCTAAGAAAACAGTGATTTTTCATGATGGAAACTTGGTTGCCACCTGCTTCCCATATAGACAGTTGACATTAGAATTAACGCCAAGATACTTTGATAATGGCCCTGTATTTTTCTTCCAGCTTGTACTTCCAGAGTACCTCATCCATGCTTTCTTCTGTGTCATGTTTCTTTGTGCAGCAGAGTGGCTTACACTGGGTCTCAATATGCCCCTCTTGGCATATCATATTTGGAGGTAATATTTAGATATACTTCTAATGATTCTCCTCATTACATTTTAATTATACTGTGTGATGTGGTTATCTTACATGCTAATCACCTAAATGAAAATCTGAAAATTAGTGATATTGTAAAAAACAAAGTGATGAACAGATAACTATTTTAATATCTTTTATGGAGTTTATTACTTTCTACAGAGATTTTCAGAAAAAATGAAATATAACTCGCATACAATGCATATAAGTCTGGAGCGTACAGCAGAGTGAATTTTTGCATGTGTATGTACCTATGAAGGGGGCTCTGGAAGCATAGTGCCTAAGGCACTTGACTGCTAACTAGAAGGCTGGCGGTTCAAACCCACCAGCCACTCCTCGGAAGGAAGGTTGGGCAATCTACATCTGTAGTGATACTGCCTTGGAAACCCAAGGAGGGGTCGCTATGAATTGGGTCCGACTTGATGGCAAATAACAACAACAACATGTACCTATGAAACCACCACCTAAAGCAAGATACACAACAGTTTCAGCCCCCAAAAGACTCCCTTGTGCCCCATTCCAGTTAGTTACTGCCCGTACCTCCTAAGGGGAACTGCTGACATCTATGAATTTGGATTAGTTTTGCCCATCTTTGAACTTCATATAAATAAAAAAATACAGCACATGTCTGAGTACTTTCTCCATATTTAATTTATGACTTTAAATAACTTTGGTTGTTTGTACAAGATATATCTCATAACTTCTCTAGTAATTTTATCTGATGTGTGCAAGCAGGCATGTCAAAATCTTATTGCCCCATAAGAATAAAGGACGATTTTGGTAAAACCCACAACATATACAATTTTGCAATAACCGTAACATAACAACAACATACATATTCAGGGAGCTCTGGTGGCGTAGTACCTAAGGCATTTTACTGCTAACCAGAAGGGTGGTGGTTCAAACACACAAGCCACTCCTCAGAAGGAAGATTGGGCAATCTACTTCCGTAGTGATACTGCCTTGGAAACCCAAGGAGGGGTCGCTATGAGTCGGGGCCGACTCAACGGCATATAACAACAGCAATGACAACCAAAAAGCATGCTTATATATGTATAGGTAAGCACGTGTGAATATATGGGTGTGTGTCCATAGGTATTTCTGTAGGCAAATATATGTACATGTTCGTGTATGCTGCATATGTATTCATATATAAAATAAAGCATATAGGGGACACAGTTATGGATACTTCCTAGATATAACCAGTCACCTCATGGGATTAGGTTACTTGGTTTGAGAGCTTAGGACCATCATCTCAGGCTACAGCTGGGTCATAAAGATAGTGTTCTGCGTCCTAGTTTGGTGAGTAGTGTCTGGGGTCTTAAATGCTTGTGAATGGCCATCTAAGATACAACTATTGGTCTCTATACATCTGGAGCAGAAAGAAAGAAGGAAATCAAAGACTCAAAGAAGAAACTCTACAGGACTAATAGTCTAGATGAACCATGGCCTCACCTACCTTAATACAGAAGAACTAGTTGTGCCTGGCTACCACTACTAACTATTCAGTCCAGATTGGAAGGAAAAAAAAAATGTAGAGCAAAACTCAAATTTCTGAAAAAATGCCAGACTTACTGGACCAATAGACACTAAAGGAACCCCAAAGACTATTGCCCTGGGATATTCCCTTTAAACTTGGAACTCAAACCACTCCCAGAGGTCACCTATCAGCCAAAAGACAAGAGTGGTTCATTAAATAAATATTATCACCTGTGGGTACTGTGCTCCTCTAAACAATCATCTAAATGAGACCTGAAGGTCAACATTTGCCCTAGACCAAGGTGAGACAGTCAGGGTTTGGGGCACAAGGAAGCTAGGTTAGTGGTAGCAGAACAACTGGAATGGAAATAACGAGAAAGCTGACACATTGTGAAAAGTGTAACCAATGTCACTGAATAATATGTATGCAAAAGAAACCAAACTCACTGTCTGCAAGTTGGATCTGACTCATAGCGACCCTTCCTTGGGTTTCCGAGGCAGTATCACTACAGAAGTAGATTGCCCAGTCTTCCTTCTGAGGAGTGGCTTGTGGGTTTGAACCACCACCCTTCTGGTTAGCAGTAAAATGCCTTAGGTACTACGCCACCAGAGCTCCCTGAATATGTATTTGTTGTTGTTATGTGCCATTGAGTCGACCCTGACTCAGAGCGACCCCTCCTTGGGTTTCCAAGGAAGTATCACTACAGAAGTAGGATTGCCCAGCCTTCCTTCCGAGGAGTGGCTGGTGGGTTTGAACTGCCAGCCTTCTGGTTAGCAGTCAAGTGCCTTAGGCACTATGCTACCGGAGCTCCTTTGAATATGTATAGGAATTACTAAATCAGAACCTAATTTGCTATGTAAATCTGACTGTGTAAACACAATAAAAAAATAAATCTCATTGCCATCAATTTTAGGCAATATGTACTGAAGAAATATTTAGTGTTAAATTGGTATCATGTCTGGAACTGACTCTAAAAAGGTTTCATAAATAGAGTAATATCACAAATCCATACCCTTTTGCTAAAGAGTATGATTAAATTTATAATTACTTTAGAACTTGACTGTGTAGTGGAGAATGCTTACGTAGGCTCTGTAGGCTGTTAACTGTCAGAGATAAGTATTACATCAGAATGCTTGGCATAAATTCATATCATGTCTAACTGTCTCTGAAACAGTTGGGAAAAAAAGTAGAGAAAGAAGGATACCACAGGTGTAGTAAATGTTAACATTTTGAAATATCTGGGAAGGATTCTTGAAACTTCTGTAAGTCTAAAGTTCTGTCAAAAGAAAAGGTTAGAAGAATCCCATTGCTTTTTAACAGTTACTGTTGGTGCAGTGGTTAAGCGCTCAGAAGTAGGCGGTTCAAACCCACCAGCCACTCTGTGGGAGAAAGATGTATGTGGCAGTCTGCTCCCGTGAAGATGTGTAGCCTTGAAAACCCTGTGGGGCAGTTCCATTCTATCCTTTAGGGTCACTGTGAGTCAGAATTGACTCAAGAGCAACAAGTTTGGGTTTTAGTGTTCATATGTTTGTAGGATTTTTGAAAATGCAGAGGAGACAAAATGTGAGTTGTTTAGCTGTCCAGTTTTGCTTATTTAGGGGCTCTAGTCTTGAAATAAAGAGAATAAAAGGAAAAGATGCCACCCATAACTAAGAATGTGCTTTCCTGTGTGGACCACCTCCCGTTGTAACATATTATAGGTAGTCTCTGACTTAAGACACATTCAAGTTATGATGAACCACACTTGTGATTGCCCCCCTTTTATTTTTGGTACATCTTATCATTAGTAATACATGCCACATAAAGTGTTGCTGTGCATAATTTGTTGATGTTACCATTTTCAAATGTTCACTCATCAACAAATACTGCATTTATAAAGATCCTGAAAATGAAAGGCAATAATAATGAAAGCAAAAAAAACAAAAAAGATACTCAGCTTAGGTCAGAACTGACGTAAAACTGTCGTGGCAACAGAACCCCATCATAAGTTGGGGACTGCTTGTATTTGAGAAGAACTGCTTTCAACCTAAAGGTTTGCTGCCCTTTCGAAGTGGCTAACAGACTGTGTTTATTCCAGGTATATGAGTAGACCAGTGATGAGCGGACCAGGACTCTATGATCCCACAACCATCATGAATGCAGATATTCTAGCATACTGTCAGAAAGAAGGATGGTGCAAATTAGCTTTTTATCTCCTAGCATTTTTTTACTATCTATATGGGTAAGTTTTGAAAATAAGATTTCACGCTGCTTATAATGTTTGCATTCATCTGGTCTTTACGCCTTAAAAATCCAGTGGAAGAATAACTCAGGTGTGCTGAGTGGTGGTGACTAGTCATGGCCCAGTACATACCAGCAGATAACACACCTGTTCAAGATTACCAAGGAGAGAAACTGGTTTGTGGTCAGAGGCAGACACTGGTCAGGGGTGCTGCTCAAGTTTTCATATGTTCACTCAGCAAAGGACAGTCCTTCATCTCCGTGGCAGAGTATTGCAGTGAGAGCATATTGCTGTGCAAGGGTGCAGGGAAGTTTCTGCTTGACTTCACTGTCTCTCCTGAGACTGTGGTTAAGTTTTTCCTTATCACTCTTCGTAAACCATATGCTCTGCCTTTTCTTTTCTGGTTTGTTTGATCTGAATGGGATGAATGAAAGGAATAGTTCTACTTACAGGGTGGTACACTTCTCCATTTTTTCCTTTTTATACCATAACGGACTCTTACCATCTTTCCTCTAGGGCAGGCTTTCTAAGTCTTGGTGCTGCTGACATGTGGGGCAGGATAGTCTGTTGTGGGAGCTGTCTTGTGCATTGTAGGATGTTTAGCAGCATCCCTGGCTTCTGCCCACTAGATGCCAGTAGCACCCCTTTCCCCAATGGGGAGAACGAACTGTCTCTGAACTGAACATTGCCATATGCCCTCTGTAGGGCAAGGGGTAAACCCTCCTTCTCCCTGGCTCTAGGTGTGCTGTAAGTGGAGTAACATGACTGCTTATTCAAAGCTAGGCAAGGCCACTGTTAGGAATGAAATTTTAATGTCTTTTTAAGCTCTATAAATACACTTTTCTCATCTTTTACTGATATGCATTCAACTAGAGATGGCTTTTCATCTGATTTTCAAAATCTGAAGAATACCAGCTGTATAAAATGAAATGGTAACAATTAAGCTTTCATTCCCTCTCCTTTTTGTTGAAAATGAGCTAAGTATGGTAGCCTATTCATATTTCTTTTGTAAAAAGTTTCCATTATAGAAATGGGTGAATGGTGAGAGGAACCTTGGAAAAAGATATTTTTATGCTTTCAGAGGCTATAACTGAAAGTGAGTAGGGTTTAGTGCATCTACAGATGTTGCCCATGTGTGAAACAGAATAGATTCTGAAAAGTGAAATTCCATGGGTTAGTCTAATTCCCTGTTAATTTTCTTTTTTTAAAGTTTTTGTAACAAGTGCCTGCAACAGTGCTGACAAATAGTAGGCACTTAGAACATTTGTAAGAGAGAGAGAAAAAAGACTGATTGGATAAATGGTAAAGTTAGAGATGAGCAATTATAGGAAATGTTCACCAGGAGATGGCGGCAATAGGACATTCATTTATTTTTTAAAAAAATTGTCTGTGAAGCAGCTCCCTTTATTTCCATTTAGAGCTGCATGCTTTTGAGCCATGTCCCCATGCCTTTCCCTTATCACTCTTCAGGTAGGATTGTCCCGGGGGGGTTCTTAAGCCTAAATTGAATGGTTGTTAGTTGCTGTGGAGTTGAGTCCAACTTTTGGCGACCCCATGTATACAAAGTAGTATTGCTCCATAGTGTTTTCAAGGCTGTAACCTTTTGGAAGTAGATCGCCAGGCCTGTCTTCCAAGATGCCTCCGGGTAGGTTCGAACTGCCAGCCTTTGGGGTGGTAGTCCAGCGCTTAACCATTTACACCACCCAGGGACTCCTAAACTGCCTTTCATTTTGGTATTTTGTTTCCTTTTTTAACCCTGCTGTTGTTGCTTAGAGCCTTTCTTTAATGGATAAATACTTTAATTGATCATTTTCATCTATAAAACAGGGATAATAATAGTACCTAGGTCATAGGAGTGCTTTGAAGATTAAGTGAGGTGATGTATATAAGATGTAGCAGAGGGCCTGGCGTGCTGCTATTATTAGACCCCACCCCAGAACAGCGAAGAGCTATCGTTAGACCCCACCCGAGAGCAGCGCTGCTATCGTTAGACCCCACCCGAGAGCAGCGCCGCTATCGCTATCGTTAGACCCCACCCCAGAACAGCGCCGCTATCGTTAGACCCCACCCCAGAACAGCGCCGCTATCGTTAGACCCCACCCCAGAACAGCGCTGCTATCGTTAGACCGCACCCCAGAGCAGTGCTGCTATCGTTAGACCCCACCCCAGAGCAGTGCACTGTTTGGATTGCTTCTCTCAGTTCTGATTCCCCACGAAGCCTCCAGTTGTCCCGTAAAATTGGAAAGGAAATGGGGAACAACTACAGCATATGCATCGAGTCAAGTTCCACCTTAAGCAAAAATCCATAAATGTAAATTAAAATTACATTGTGAACTTGGCATTAGTTTTTCATGTTCTGTGATGGTATGTTACCACAAATATATTTGCTGTATAAAGCAGACTGGGCATTTAGGTGCTCTTAGTTTTCTAATTAGCAGTGTTTGAATTAACAGCCTTTTTCTTCTTTTCAGCATGATCTATGTCTTGGTGAGCTCTTAGAACGACACAGAAGAATCAGTCCAGTTCAGTGCATGCAGAAGCCACCAAATGAAGGGATTCTATCCAGCAAGAGCCTGTTTCCAAGAGTAGCCTATGGAATCTGATCAGTTACTTTAAGAAAATGACTCCTTATTTTTAAAGTTTCCACAATTTTTGCTTGTGGAAAGACTGTTTTCATATGTTATACTCGGATAAAGAATTTAAATGGAATTACGTATAAATTAACAGAAAATGATCACCTCTGGTGTTGACAGGTTTGAACTTGCACTCCTTAAGGAACAGCCATAATCCTCCAGTGATTGCATTAATTACTGACTGTCCGTAGTCCACTGGAAGCTTTTGTTTATAGGAACTTGTAGGACTCATTTTGGTTTTTTTGAAATGCCATCTAATTATAAATTAGCTGTAGATATCAGGTGCTTTAGATGAACTGAAAATGTGTAGTTGGAAACTTCATGGGTTTCCCTGTCTATCATGTAGATGATTGTATACGGATACCTTTACCAAATAAGAAGAATGGGATTGTTTTCTCCTTCGACATGAATATTATCCCTGTATATTGCATGAATGAGAGATTTCCCATATTCCATCAGAGTAATATACTTGCTTCAATTCTTAAGCATAAGTGAACATTATAATAAAAATATATACTAATTGTGAAGGATGCATTTAAAGCTATTTTAAATGTGTTTTTATTTGTAAGACATTACTTACTAAGAAATTGGTTATTATACTGTTCTAATCTGGTGGCAAAAGTATTCTTAAGAATTTGCAAGTACCTTAGATTTTCAAAACTGAATGAGAGAGAACATTGTATAACCATCCAGCTGTTCCTTTAGTGCAATACAATAAAACTCTGAAATTAAGACTTATTTTCAGTGCATTGTTTTAAAGATTATAAATAGCTCTTTCTTAAATTTGCATAATCTTTAATAAAGACATATTACTGTCAAATTTCTTTTTTAAAAAATAGTAAGAGTATTACATTGTGGTTTTTCTTAAAAATACCATGCCTGGATCTAAACGGGGAGGATTTTAAATGGCCACACATATACTGCTGCCATCATTGAGAGAAAGATTTTATCGACAAGATTTATGAGGGTTGATATATCATAGCATCATTACTTCTTTTTACCAATGTAAAAAATTGTGTTACTTAAATTGTTTTAAATATCTCATTTTCCTTTCTGAACTAGCAGGTTTAAGATAAAATCACTTATAAACTTGTTTGAGGTTTTGCTGCTTCTTGAAAGGCGGGTAAATTATGGCTTGCATGTGTTCATAGACATCCTTGTGCTTTGATTTGGCATGAGGTCATTAAGGTAATTGAAAATCGTGTTAAGTGGTTCAGAAGTTTCTTGAACAAAGTTTTTTGAAAATACATAGAAACTTCACACAATGATCAAGTGAGTCTGTGGAGGTGTTTGTGGAAGTTTTATTGTAAGAACTCCTTGAGTTAGATGCTCTTTTATTCTCTAGTAGTGAAAGATACTTTGAAATAATGCGTCCTTACCTTTGAGGGAGTAGCTCTTTCTGTTTTGGGATTGGGTGTGGAGGTGCATATGTTGAAGAAGAGGATGTAGAACCAGAAGATGGAGGAGAGAGAAACCATTTTGTAGTGAGGAATGCTTTACTGGCCTTGTGTTTTATAGTCTGCAGTATGTCTAGAAGGATCTGTTCATCAGTTCACGCAGTAAATTATTTATTGAGTACTTGCTTTGTGTAGCATTGAGCTAGCTAGGAAGTAGAGATTCATGCACAGTCATTCAGTTTGGGGTCCACGTAATTATATTAGCACCCACTCCTCATTTTTCTTGTTCATGGGTGCTTTTGTTTATGAGAGAGCTGGCCAAGTCTTCTGTAATAAACCAGATAGGTTTCTGGGGCTGCTACTTTAATATTCCTGTCACAAAGTGTTTTCAGGAATGCTTGCTATCTCTTCTTGCAAACATTGCTTCCCTTTCTAAGTTTTAACATACATTCTTTTAATTACCTATTCTAGGATATTCTCCAGAATTAATGCAAAGTTTACTGGTCACGGTTTATGGAAGCCACCTTCTCATGCTTCAGAAATTAGATCTGTAGTCCTCAGTTGGTTCCTCAAACATGATTGGCACACATGTCAGTGGTAGGCTGTTAGTTCCTAGATATAGCAGATTAGAAGATTGAGTACCTGGGTGTTCTCATAATGTCCATCTACCCACTTTTGCCTTTTCCAGTGTTTTATGAAATTAGATCACTTAGCAAGAGAAAGTGGAAGCAAAATACTTGCATTTGACAGCATCCCACTGGCTCTTTTCCTTGCTGTGAATTTAATTTGTTCCCCCCATTAATCTGTTTTGAGCGACCCTAGCCTACCCTCTGTTAGTTCTGCAGGTGCAGCCGAGGCATAGTTAGCCAGGGTCTTAATCCCTTCCAGTTTCTGTGGGACTGCTTCCTGTGTAGCCACAGCTCTTTATTTAGCTACTCTTCTCCTTGTTACAGTTACTTTTGATATTACAAGTTTTGACCTGTCTTTAAGCATTTCCAGCCCTTGGAGAAACCACTTCCCCCATTTTCTTGCATCTGGTGTGTTACACTCTGGTTATATATACATACCAACAACTCTTTGTGGCTGTGGGTACTACAGATTATCCTGAGTTTAGAATCTTACAAATTTTTTAGTTCTATTTTTAAGCAGTTACTTTATTGAGTAACACTATTTTGTAGCAATATGACCCCTTAGTACTAAGGAGGCAGAAGGGTAGAAACTGTATTTGAACACTCCTAAGTTTTGGTGACATAGTGGGGAAGGCTAATGAGCAGATCGGTGGTTCAAACCCACTAGCTGTACCACAGGAGGAAGATGAGGCAATCTGCTCCTGTGAAGATTTACAGCCTTGGAAACCCATTGGGGGTCACTATGAGCCAGAATTGACTTGATGGCAGTGAGATCTTAAGTTTTATTAATGATGTTTGATGATTTCCATAATGCTTAATTTATAGCTCCCACTCTTTTGTCTCAGGGTAGAGGACAGTTTGGTTCCAGTGTATAGACAAATTGCTAATTTGTATGAAGTTTGAATTATTTTTCATGAGAAGAGGAAGTGATGGGAAGTGACCTAACAACTTAGGGCATATATTGGGTATTACTAAAGTACCTGTGAAGCATCATGGATTATACCATGAACTTGACCCACCAGCCAAGTTCAGATACCCAGATAAGGACTTTCACAAAGCAGCGGAGTTTGTGGCAGTTTGTATATAGTGTGGGTCTTTTCTAAACCCTGTTCAGTGTCTTCATCTTGGAGACTGTGGAAATAGTTCTGATGGCTCTCTCTCGCCCACCCAACTCAACATAGTTTGGAAATATGTCAGATGTATGCATAGGAAGGAATTAGGGAGATAGGTATACTTTGGAACTGGCAAAATATTTTTTTGGACTTTTTTTCATCCTCTAGTGATATGTTTATGAATAGCGTTCATTGACTTTTATTGCCATGGTGCAAATAATGACTTCTCTGTATCTCTTGTAAGGAGCTCTGGTGGTGCTGTGGTTAAAGCATTGTGCTGCTAACCAAAAGGTTGGTGGTTCAAACCTATCAGCTGCTCTGCGGGAGGAAGATGTGCTTCTGTAAAGGTTTTCAGCCTTGGAAACCCTATGGGGGAGTTCTGCTCTGTCACTGAGTCAGAATCACCTTGATGGCAGTGGGTGTTTTGTGTCTCTTGGACCCTGCAAGAAGTGAGCTTTCATTTTCAGTCTGGCTTTATCATAGTTGTGTGATTGATCAAGCCCTTTCAAATAATGATTTGCATTAAAATCAGTAAACTAGATTTGTATGTCTAGTTTAGTTACACCATTTTCTCCAAGTACTCATCCCTCAATCAGTTGTACAATGTAATTGTAAATGGCAAAAATATTTTAAAACAGTATCTTTTTTAGAGGCAAAAAAGATACAAGTACTGATACCTTATACTTGTTCATGAAAGGTACTCACAGTCATCCTTTGTGGAAACTACTCATAATGTTAGTCTCAACTAATTTAAAACTCTTTAGCTCAAACCCAACATTGATCTGCAGCTAATGAATATCTGGTGTGACTAATACAGCTCAGAAGATGATTCTGAGCTTCAGGGTGATCCAAGAGGAAAAAATGTAATTCTGTTTGTGGATGTGTCAGCTAGCTATCTTATAACAAACAGTTTTACTTTGATTAAAGTGTTCTAAAGTTAAATGTCTAAAATTAATAAACGTTCTGCTTGCTGCTTGTTTTGCTGGTTTCAGAAAATAGTGGTAACAGATTAGGGTGCTGTATTTGTGGGTTGCAGTGAAAGTCTTGTCCTAAATTGGTTTGACTAATCCACATTGTGGAAGTGAACAAGTAGAGAGAATCCCAGTGTGCAAAAGAATGGATTACATCTCACATGGAAGTTGATTTTTATTGTACAGTACTTTCTCTAAATATATAAATTTCTTTGGTTATCATGTTCATGTGTTCTGGAGAAGAAATGTTTCCTAAATAGTGGATTGATGACTAGGTAGACCTTAAAACTACTAAGAGAAACATAGAATGTAGTTAGCCATCTGTGCTCATGGTTTGTCAAGATATAAGATAACCTCAATGGTGCTGTACCACTGTCCAGAGAAAATACCCTGAAGTAGTCCTATCTTATTCCCTGGAGCTTGTTTGATTTTGCTCTTGTATATTTAATAAAAATGGTCTCAAATGTTCTTGTGTAATTTATGGGTAATGGTTGAGTCTGTGTGTTGATTCCATTTCAAATGCACCCAACTGTGGTTTGTGTATGACCAGGACTCTAGATTGTCTCCCTGCCTCTGTTGTTTTGGGGGATGTTACACACATGAGGCAGGGGTAATAATTTCCTTAGAATGTTGGGATTACATGTTATTAAACATAATTGGGCAATTAATTTGACTAGTGAGCATCCTCTGTTTCTCTGCTATGGAATAATTGATGTTTTTCCTTTTATTTCGTATCAAAGCAGATTAGTTATTTTAAATGTGTAAGGCTTAGTACTTTCAATGGAAATTGAAAGATTCATACACTTTGAAAATTCAGTAATTAAAGGACTAGATTAATCCATGCCAATATTTTCCTGAGTATTCATGGATAGGCTGTATATTGGAGGAAAGCTTATACAAGATTTGCTAATATCAGTTATGATGACTACCTAAAGTTTAATTGAGTATTGTGATTTTAAATTATATTTGGTTATACTGTTGTTATTGTTGGATGCTGTCGGGTCAGTTCTGACTCAGTGACCCCACATACAGTAGAATAAAACATTGCCTTCTGTGCCACCCTCACAGTCGTGCTGTTTGAGCCCATTGTTGCAGCCACTGGGTCAGTCCATCTCATTGAGGATCTTTCTCTTTTTCACCGACCCTCTACTTGACCAAGCCTGATACCTTTCCTCAGGGACTGGTCCCTCCTGATAACGTGTCCAAAGTACGTGAGATGAAGTCTCACCGTCCTCACTTTTGAGGCGCATTCTGGCTGTACTTCTTCCAAGACAGATTTGTTTTTATATTTGGTTATAATATCATGAGGAAGGCAAAACTGTTATTGTATCCACTACTTTAAAAAAAGATTGCTTCCTTGGTACAATTTTGGACATTCCTTATCTGAGATAAATTCTTAGGTTACACATTAAGATACTGGTAGGTTTTGTTATTCTCCTGTCATTTTGAGTACTCGCATAAAGTTTTGAGTTCTAGAAGCAGTGTATGTATAAAAGTACGAAAGTATTGATTTTATATTACAGTACTACTGGCTCTACAGTTCTCAAACAGCATTCCCTAAAGAAATTAAAGTAGGTCATTGGCAGCAAGAGAGTGTGAGACAAAATAAGAACTTGGTCACTGACGGTCATTTAAAAACTAAGTTTTGATATGAAACTTACTTTTTGTCTTATGTGGAAGTACCTATGATTCTGTAAACTGGTGGTAGTAGACAAATGACTACTGGTTGACTTTCAGGGTTTCTAGTAGCCAAGAAAGCTGTGTGACAGCTGTGTTACTGAAACCAGTGATATCTATTAAAATGAGATGACTGTTTGACTCCTTGTCTATAGTTCAAATGGCTTCAGCCAATAGCATAGGGAGGTGATTAACCTGTAGATAAGTGCTTGGTAAAATAAAGAAATGTGAATGAGGGAACAGGCTGTCTGACCCAATGAATTCCTTATCCCTGAAAATGTTACAGCAGATGCTGGATAAACTTTTGGGAATGATGCTGTACTAGATGATTGTTGTTGTTGTTGTGTGCCGTCAAGTTGGACCCAACTCATAGCGACCCCTCCGTGGGTTTCCGAGACAATATCACTACGGAAGTAGATTGCCCCATCTTCCTTCCGAGGAGGGCTGGTGGGTTTGAACTGCCAGCCTTCTGGTTAGCAGTCAAGTGCCTTAGGCACTGTGCCACCAGAGCTCCCAGATGATTGTTAGGATCCCTTATAATTCTGTAAGTCTGTGAAGTAGAAACAACAATGGAAGAGATTTTGGGAGGATTAGAGGGTAAAAGTTATTTAAAGACTTGGATACTCATACCAGTTTTTATACTTATTACTGTGTCATATACCACACAGTAGTTAAAAATAGTAACATGAGGTATAATAAATACTATGTATTCAGAGATTTTTCCATATGCTTTTTTCAGCATTACCCCCAGGTAAAATATATGAGAACAGATGGTGCAACTCTAAAATGGACACTTGTATAGCAATTTTTCTACCTTTTCCTTATGAGACATGAAAGAGACAATGAAATTTGTCAATAAAAGCTTTATGAATATCTGCACATACACACTGACATTCAAGTTGATAACACTAATGGTTTCATTACAATAAAAATTACATTAGAGATCTCTTAAATTTCAGACATGGTCATATATATATGCTGTTTGAAATACTTTATCTAGATACAGATCGTGATAGCGACTCTCTTGATGACAGATGTGCAGCTAGTTTGTCCCGGAACTCATGGAGATAATTATATTGCTGAAAAAGTAAAGGCAAGTTGAAATATAGTACAGAAACTAGTTCCCAGATTAGTCAGAATAACAGCAAGAATCAGGAATCAAAAAATATGTGAATATCAAATTTTACATACTTTGGGGTGAGAAATTATTTGTACTATGGGGAAGCTGTTTTTTTTTAAAGTTACATAGTGAAAATCTATTACTTTAAAAATAATCTAAAAGTCAGAAGGTAGCATGAAATACAGGTCAAAGTTTTTATAAGTCAGTAAAATCCTTTCTCCTTTTACTGGCAGCGCCAAATAAGAGAAAACACTACACAAATGCATCATTTTTGCTAATGATTTTTCCCCTGGGGAGTAAATTGGGAGGAAATGGCACTTTTGGTATCAGTTAACAGTGGCACAATCAAGGAAATCTGTTTCTCAAGTTAAAGAAGGCTTTGTTTTCTGCTTTTTGTGGTGACATAATCGATTTGGAACAATTTTCATAGTAGACAGTATTAAAACAAACTAACCGTATCACTGATCTAAACGCACAAACAAAATGAAAGCTTTAAATAATTTATTCGGAGTTTTAGTATCTTCCCAGAGGATATCCTTACTATGCCAGTAATGTCATTTCTAATCATTATTGAGAAGGTGAAATTGCATCCTGCTAACTTCCATCAACAGACTCCTGAAGCACAAGGAAGCTTAAAGCGTGTTTGCTGCCCAACAATGAGGTGAAAAATTGACAGCCTGTGGTGGTGTGGGCTTAATTCTCCATGATTGAGGATGTAAAAACATTTCATACACACACACACACACACACACAGAGAGACAACTATATTTAGTTTCAAAGAGAAGAGAGACTTGATCTTGGATTTGAAGAACCATTTGATTTTTATCAGATAATAAGGGGAGTTCTCTGTTTTCAGAACTTGTACAGAGAGAGCTGGCATTTTGGGAAGTGGATGTAGTACAGATTTTTTTGTGAATGACCTAATTTAAGGCCTGAGAATGAGGTTGCTTAGAGAATTTGTCAGTTACTACAATAATTCGTTGTCCATGGCACTGGCTGGAGTCCTAACACTAGGAAGATGGACTCTCAAGCCCAGGGAGCCACCTAGAGATTGGGGTGGTTCTTTTTTTTTTAAATTGTGATTTGGGTGAAGATTTACAGAGCAAATTCACTTTCCATACAGCGGTTCACATAAACTTTGTCTCATGACATTGACCACAGTTTACCACAATGCAACAGCTCCCTTCCCACTTCCTCCCCATAGTTACCTCTTCCCAGTGTCCATCCCTCCATGCACTCCTGCCCCCTAAGCTGTCTCCCTGTGCATAGGCAGCCCTTCTTTCTCAATGATTGTTCTCTCCAAGGAGTGTATCTACTTGAGGTAAATGTTCAACTCCTATGCCTGTCTTTTGTTTGGCTGGAAGCCACAGGTGTGGGTTCAATTCCAGACCTGAAGGGCAGCTAGGGGCCATAGTCTCAGTGGTTCCACCAGGCTCTATCACAGAGACTGGGATTCTTTAGGACTCCATGTGACGGACCCCTAAAGCAGACACAGGGTGCTTAGGAAAGGAAGACAATTTTACAGATCTACAAAAGAAGTGAAATCTGCAGAATCTTTTCAGTAAATGATTACTATAATACACCCACCTCTCACTTACTAGGAGCTCTGGTGGTGTAGTGCCTAAGGCTCTGACTGCTAACCAGAAGGCTGGTGGTTGAAATTCACCAGCCACTCCTCAGAAGGAAGATTGGGCAATCTACTTTCACAGAGATACCACGTTGGAAACGCAAGGAGGGATTGCTATGAGTCAGACTTGACTCAATGGCAATGAGTTTTTTTTTTCTTGGTTCTCACTTACTATCTCATTATCTGACATGTCACATTTACCAAACATTGAAAAATTCTCAGGCAGCGCTTCTGATGGTCTGGGCCCCATGTGGGGCTGTGGTCAGGCCTAGGGTGCCTCTGTGGCCCACTCTGAATGATATACCAGAGGCCCCAGTGGCAATCAGGCCACAAAGGAACAGTGGCCAACTGGCTGCAGGATACCTTCTCCCATCTGTCTGTGACGTCTGTCTGTCCACGGAGGGTGTGGGGTGATGGTGGGATGCATGAGGTTGTGGGTGGGGAGGAGGAGGCTGGGCAAGTGTCTGAAGGTGCAAGGAGGTCAGTGGGGGGAGAGGGAAGAGGGGTGCAGCTGATGGAGGATGAGTGGGATCCCTGGCCAACGCAGGTGGTAGTGGGCAGAGAAGAAGTGGGGCTCCTCCCAGGGTGGTGCCAGGAGGTGAACAACACTCAACCATAGGTTCTGTGGTGGTGCAGGTGTGGTGGGGAAGGGTGACCGTGTCATGAGCATCCCGAGACGTGTCAGGGGTGCCCGAGGGGCACTGAGTGATGGTAAGAAGGGGAGGAGAGGGGGATGGGACATGAGCTCTGAAGACAAGGCACTGACCCTGACTCTCACATAGCACCGATTTTGCGTAATGATCTGGTCTTTGGAACCTAACCATGTCAGTAAGTGAAAAGTGAGTATAATATGCTTGGGGAATTGCTACTGCCATGTTTTTCTTCCCCGCACAATTACGAGGTTTATTTGGGAAGTAACAGGTTACAATTCAGGTTCAGGAATGCTCAGGATATAGTCTTCAACTAGAACAGCCTCCTCAGCCATGCCCAAAGGCACAGCTCTCTTTGGCCCTTGGCCTGCCCTCTGCCCTGCTCAGGCAAGTGTTACTAAGCTCCTTTAGCTCTGGCAATAGGTGCACCTGGGTGCACCCCACTCTCCAGCAGTGCTTTTTAAACATTAAGGGGAAAGTGAATGCTGAAGATGTCACTTTGGTTGTCCACAGCAAAGGATAATTAGCATTGCTGTGCATTTTTTTGTATTGTAGCCATTCATCTATCATTATTAAATGTTTCTATGATAGAATAAAATCTTCTGGCTAAAAAACTGCCCAGAAAATGACCAAGTCATAAGTAACCATTACATTTTCAGAAGTGAGAGGATCCATTCTAGAACTTAATATGGCCAAAAACTACGCAGTAATAGATCCAAAAAGAGTAAACAAGAAGTTCAATTTTTTTCATTATTTTGTTTGAAATACTGTGAGCTTTTGCAGACATTAGTGTTTTATTTAAATATAAATTAAAAAAAATACAGGTAGGTGTTAGCTGCATTACAGAATGCTTTGGCTCTCCATTCACCCACGCTTTGTTAGCGCAGTGCAGGTGTGTTTACCCCTGACCCAACCCAACCAGAACCTCTGTCTGTACCTTTACGGTCTGTATTGCCCCTGATCCTCTGAGGTCTCTCAGGCTGTCTATGGCTTGCTGTGGTGATACTGTATCAGACAGGTAGAGTAGTAGACAAGCAGCTACTAATATAACATGACAGAAAAAGGATACATTATTAAATGATAGTAGTCATAAGTTACAACATTTTATGTTTAGTTAGACTTTTGTTGGTACAGAAGACCAGTTTGTTGCAATTGTTCAAAATATACTGAGGCCATTTAGTGTGTATTTTTGACAGGTAAATTATGATCTTAAATGACTGGTATAATTAACGCTTAACACTACATTATTATTTTTTTCAACAGCTTTATTGGGCTATATTTCGTATGTATACACTTTATTCACTTAAAGTATACAATTCAGTGGCTTTTATCACCTAGGTGCAACCATCACCACAGTCAATTGTAGAACATTTTCATCACCTCAGGAAGAGAACCCCTTCCCTTTAGCTATCACCCTTGACCCCTGCTCCCCCTCAGCTCTAAGCAATCTGCTTTCAGTCTCTACAGCTTTGCCTATTTGACAGCTTTTATATAAATGGAAGCTTACAATATGTGGTCTTTTGTGACTGGCTTCTTTCACTTAGCATGTTCTCAAGGTTCATCCACACTGTGCATGTAGAAATACTTCATTCCTTTTTATAGCCAGGTAATATTCCACTGTGTGAACATACCACACGTTGCTTGTCCACTTGTCAGTCGATGGACATTTAGGTTGTTTCTACCCTTTGTTTGTTTTGTTGTTATGTGCCGTTGAGTTGGACCTGACTCATAGTGACCCCTCCTTGGGTTTCCAACGCAGTATCACTATGGAAATAG